GTGAACATGTAGCAATTTTTACTAAAAATCATATCGAATAAAAAATTATATATATTTTTTAGAGATATATGTTGAAATTGAACTTCATGTGAAGTATAATTGCGGTGTGAACACAAACTGAACTTCATGTGAAGTATACTAAAAAGTTTAATAATTTTAAAAATGTGTTTATAACTTCTTTATTTGTCAAAATATAAGTAGTATATCTATAAAATCTAAAAAAGATATTAGTATAAAATGAGTATTATATCATAACATTTTATCTCGTGAATTTGTAGTAATTTTTAACAAAACTAAATCGAAGAACACTTTAATTTTTGTTTTCAACGTTATCAATTTTTTTTATAGCCAACTAAAACTGAACCGCAATTTTATTTAGTTTGTGAGAGTTAAGGGTCCCTTCTTAGAGTCTAACTCATTTAGTTTGCTAAAATAATAATTGATTTAAATGCTTAGCATTGTTTTACTTAAAAAAAACATAAATCGTATATCTATAGATTAAATAAAACATTAATTAGTATAAAATGAGTACTTGGTTACAACATTTTCTCTCTTTAAATATTTCTTTCGTTCTATGGTCATGGTTTATCAACATAAACTTGGTTTTACCCATTTTGTTTATCAAAATTTATTGTTTATTTTTTTTGGTTTTCTGTTGAACATTGTTTATATAAATTTTTTTATAATTCTCTGAAAATTTTACATTTAGAAAATTATCTTTCCAAATAGTATAATCCTTTGTTTATTCGTGTGTACTTTGGTTTACATGCATTGAGTGATTTGTTTTTTATTCAATCTGTTAATTTTGGTAAACTGTAAAGTGTAAACCGGTCTATATCTTGAGTTTCTCAAAATTAGCTTTCTTAAAATATCTTCTTATGAAACGTAGATAACCTTCAAAACCGATCAATAACATGATTCATTAACTTTAAAGGATTCTTAAGAGAACTACATGACTTTATATAATTATATCTACATGTCTTGATAAATTTTGAAATCGTATATTTCATGTCAAAATGATATTCCGTATTATGATTATTGACTATATTAAAAAATACTCCATGAGAAGAAGAATCGCGATTTGAACATAAAAACATGCACCAATATAAATCGAGCATTCCACAACTAATTGGTAATTTTCAATAAAAAACCAAATCGAATTAAAACTTTATACAAATAATTACCGCACAACAGAATAACGAACACCCCACAATTAACTTTGTTCTTTTTTGGACGTTACATACGAACCAGTTTTATTCATTATGTAAGGATTAGGGCTCCCCTAGGGTTAAAACTCCCCTCTTAGGGTTTAGCTCCTTTCA